CTCACCTGTGATTAACATTCTTACAGGTACGCTAGCTCACCTGTGATTAACATTCTTACAGGTACGCTACCTCACCTGTGATTAACATTCTTACAGGTACACTATAGCTCACCTTTGATTAACAATCTTACAGGTACGCTAGCTCACCTGTGATTAACATTCTTACAGGTACTCTACCTCACCTGTGATTAACATTCTTACAAGTACGCTATCTCACCTGTGATTAACATTCTTACAGCTACACTATAGCTCACCTGTGATTAATATTCTTACAGGTACTCGACCTCACCTGTGATTAACATTCTTACAGGTACGCTAGCTCACCTGTGATTAACATTCTTACAGGTATGCTACCTCACCTGTGATTAACATTCTTACAGGTACGCTAGCTCACCTGTGATTAACATTCTTACAGGTACGCTACCTCACCTGTGATTAATATTCTTACAGGTACACTAGCTCACCTGTGATTAACATTCTTACAGGTACTCTACCTCACCTGTGATTAATATTCTTACAGGTATGCTAGCTCACCTGTGTATTATGTTCTTGCTGTGTAAGTACTCCAGCCCCATGACGAGCTCAGCCGTGTAGAACTGAGTCACCTCCTCGTCGAACGAGTCGACCTTCCGGATGTAGTCAAGCAGTTCTCCGTTCTTCGCGTAGCTGAGCACAAAGTCTGACCGGCGCGCGCGTGAGCGGGCGAGTCAAGGAAGCAAAGACGGAACGTGAAGCGAGGATACGCCACGACAACGCACCATGGTTATGCATCGCGGCGACGCATCATGGCGACGCGCCACGGCAACACGCGTGAATACGCCACGGTAATGCGTATGAACATCATCATGGCGAGACGCGCCATGGCGTCGCGTGCGAGCACGCCACGATGTCCCGATTATATATAATTAGGCGATGAACACATGACAACGTGCATCGTGAGGATTCTTTTTCAGAGACGTGTCCTTTAAGCATTGTGCCTTCTTGTTCGAGGTCTGATAAAGCAAGGACCTCCGCATTATGTATAATAATGTATAGTAATGTGCATAATAATAATAATAATAACAACAACAACAACAACAACAATAATAATACTAATGCTATATAGTATAAAGTAAGTAGAGTAAGAGTTAGAGTAAATACTACGGTATTACTCACTCCTGAATGTATGCATGCAACGACTATGCCTAATTGGCTCGCATGCAAATCTCCCGCTAATGAATGCACAACTCGCGACGCCAGCACTGAGCAGTGACGGCAGGCTAGGCTACAGTAGTAATAATAATAATGGCATAGTAAAGTAATAAACTAATATGGTACTATTCACTCCTAATATATAATACATGTAATCAGGAGTCTATCAATATTGATAGACTCCTGATGTAATATATAACAAAATAATGACAATGCATAATCGCGTCATAGACGAATAACGCACGCACAAATAAATTCCCGAACTGTGACGCCGGCAGCGACAGTGGCGCCGGCAGCGGAGGGGTCGCCGTGGCAACGTGATTGGATACAGAGTCGCGCGCTGTCCTGGAAAGTCGCGTAGAGTCGCACGAAGAATGGACACGTGCCCTGGCTGAGTCTCATCAGTACCTCCTTCTCCGTTCGCACGTACGCGGCCTTCTTCTCTCTCACGATCTGCTGCTTGTCGCACACCTTTACTGCAGGTAACAGCAACAGCATTAATTAGTAGTAGTAGCGGCAGCAGCAGTAGCAGCACCACCACCACCAGCAGCAGCAGCAGCACCAGCAGCAGCAGCAGCAGCAGTAGTGGCAGC